ATGTTTCTCCTTGCCACCTTCGGTTCCTCTCCATTCTCTGGTATCTCAACTGTAAAAATATTTGCCTGATTTTTTTAAGGCCTTCCATAATCAGGTCTCACCTCTCATATCTAAATCTCATTTTCAGTTCAGCATATATCTTTATGCTCTATGTGGTATGGTCTTCTTGCTATCCTGCTAAAGGGGCCAGGCGCGTTCCCACTGCAGTGTCGCTGCTTGGATTGCTCTCCCTAGAAACTCCCTCCCGTCATTCCACTCTGCTGTGTAAATCTACCCATCCTCTGAGCAGGAGCCCAAATCCTACTTCTTTCAGAATGTCTTCTCTAACTACTAATTTCCCTTCTTTTCTTTCTTGAATCTTAAGATACTTGTTTGTTAGCCCTTTGTTGTACTGGCTATATTGATTTCTAATTGGTTTAGGCTATTTTAAGCCTCTTTAGGGCAGGAGCCATATTTTATGCATGGTGATGTGGTACTCTGGGCTTTGGAGTCAGGCAGAATTGAGGTCAGGGCCTGACTCCACCTATTACTCATGTGGCCTTGTGGGATTCGCCCAGCATTAGTCCTCTCTCACATGTAAAGTAGGGGGAAATGCCTCCCTCAACTGGTAGTGTTGTAAAGATGGTGGTCTAGTACCTAAACAGCCCTGGGCATAAGCCTGACAAAAATCTGCTCATCCCTGGACAATGACTCGCAGAGGCCTGAACATGTAGCAAATGTTTGGTCTGTGTTTGTTGATCGACTTGTAATAGACCACAAGTCATGGCTCTGCCTGGAGGCCCAGAGATTGGGCAGTCAATCATACAGTGAAGCCATAGCGAGTGTTATTGTGCACTTACTTAAAACGGCTTGAGCTCAGGTTATTCCTGGCTAGAGCTCTGTTTCTGGGATCAGTTGCTGTTTTTCCATCTGAACTTTGCCAGGAATACTACTGCCTTTTAATTTTAAATTTTTTTTTTAACTGTTTCTTTTGCCTCAAGCTCCTCCATTTCATTTTGCAGGCTCTTGCTGAGTTTGGAGTTTTACCTAGCCCTTCTATTTTCTTGCTTGTGGGGTATGTATGAGTGTATGTGTTTATGGTAGGACTTCTTGCCTAGCACTTTCTTGGCAGAATTCTGAGTATAGTGACCTTTCTGTATATGTTGATCTGTCAGCCTGTGAATAGTGTCTCACTTAATTGTAAATTCTCTCATCAGCAGTCTTTGACAACTTGGCATCTGAGAAGGGCCACTGGCCACAGTATCAGAAATCTCCCACCTGTGGATCTCAGTGTTTGTGATTGACGTGTTTGACCAGGAGAATGCACAAACAGAGGTGTGTGCTGGGCAACTTACACACATATTATTTGAGGGCGATAGTGTAACCATGCCCTAGGTTGTGGTTGTGCTTACCGTTGAAACACAGTTTTAACTTCCTTATCAATATACATGTGTTCTAGATAATTACCTCGTAAAAATAACCTAGTGAAGCAAATCATTTTCTGGGGCAAATTGCCTTAAAATACTAAGAAAGCGTTATGGCAGGAAGAAATCAGAGATGCCTTTACTTGCAACCAAAGAGGGAGTTACACAAGCAGTGCACATCCGTCTCGAGATGGTAAAGAAGGCTGATGTGGGCACATGCTCAGTCTCTGTGCCCAGTGAGGTGCTGTCTGATGTTAGGAAAATATTACTGCTCAACAGATCCTTGAAAAATACTCAGTGTGAGTGGAAAGCTTCCGTTCTTGATTTCTTTCCAAGGAAACTGAAGCATACTTGCTCATTGACGCATTGTGCTTTGAAAGTCGAAACCTTCATAGAAAGAGTGCTTATGGTCAGACTTGCCTGTGCAGCTGGAATCAAATCCTATGTGCACTGACTTGTGAAGTTGTCTGAGTTTGAGGAAAGCACATGTTCAGAGATCTGCCACTTTTTTTTTTCTGTATGTGGTTCAGAATTAGCAATACATTCATATACAAAGGGGGCATGGGGAGCATTTGATACATCTTTAATAGATTCTTAAAACATTTCTTATATTCACACATTAACAAATGTGCTACTCTGAAGATAACAAAGGTCTCATTTTAGTAGCTGGGTTTCTGGATCTTATCTGCAAAGTAAGGGTGTTGGGTTATCATGAAGTTCCCTTACAGAAAAAAAAAATCTAATTTCGTAGCCTGAAGTTTCCTCAACAGTATGCTATGCCCACGTTGAACTTAGGTTCTAGAGAGCTTAGCTTTCACTCTATACTAATTAGCATTAGGTCATATGTTATCTTACTTTACATTTTTCCTAGATTTTATTTTATTTTTTATTTTTTTAAGGTTTTATTGGGGAATTGGGGGAGGGAACATCGTTGGAGAATCGGGGAAGGGGAATAGACAAGTTGCTGTCCCTTTGTTCCTCAGTCTAGCCATGGAGGATGTTGCTCCACTGGTCCATGTTGGCACTGCAATCATTGCTCTCCTCCCGGCTGAGGCAGATCGGTCACCGGCCATTGGACGGCCATCCATGGCGGCTCACGACAGCTCACGCCGGCTGCCAGCCACTCACGCTGGCTGCCGGCCACCCATGGCAGTCCACTGCAGCAGGGGCTGCGGCCTACGTCGTCGCTGGCGACTCACGACAGCCCAGCTCCAGGTCGAGCTGTTGTTCACTATCTTAGCTGTAGAGGGCGCAGCGTCACTGGCTCATGTGGGATCCAAACCAGCGGCCCCGCTGCTCAGAGCTTGCACTCCCAAGCCAACTCCCAACCAAGGAGCAACTCAGCCGGCCCTTTTTCTAGATTTTAAGTTTGTCATCCTATCTCAGCTTTTTAACTCAGTAGTGCTTCATATTTCATTTGGTGCTTTTTCCCATTATGCTGGGGGCTCGTAGTAGCCACCTGATACATGTAAAGCGATGGTCAAGAGCTTGCGAGAGCCACATGTTTTTGTGGCAAGATCAATGTGAGTCATTTTCTACCTGTCTGCAGGTATAGTATGACCTGTGATAAAGTGCTGATAACCATGTGACTGCCCTCATGGTTACTATAAAAGATAATGGCTCAGAGCCAAAAAGATAAAATATCGTGGTGTAATGTCCAACAACATATTTGACACAATCATGAAGGTTAAGATCTGCATGAACTTGGAGTTACCAGAGGCAATAGTTAATGGTTTTGTCCTCTTGGATGCTGCCTTTGCTTTAGAAGTGAATTTGTGGAAGATTGATTTAACTCAAACAAAACTGAGTGAGAAAAAAGTAAGATATATAGGCTTGCACATTATGTTAGCTGTTAAAAAGCTTATTTTTCTAAATCAGTGTAAAAGTTTTTTTAGAAGGATTCATCATTTTTGTGCCCTAATCCCAATATAGTTACTCAGTTTTGCAGAGAAGGGGTGGTGGGAGGGGACGGGATGGCAGTAGGAGTGGGGTTGGTGATACAGGAAAATCACCTGTAGTCAAAATTACCCTTTACAGACCTGTAAGCTACTCATTCATGAATGGATTCGTTCACCAAATCTTTATTGTGAGCACCAGTTTGGGCCAACTATATGCCGGGTGCTCGTCGAGGTGCTGAGGATACAGATGTGACCACAACGAAGCTTCTGCTCTCACAGAGCTGATGTTCTAGGGCTAAGTACAGTTTGTATCTGTCACCTTGTAACCTAGAAGTAAATGAGGGTTATGTGGAGACGGCGAAAGGGTTGCTGTGGATTTGCAGGGTTTCCCATTTCAAGAAACTGAGGGCCGGCCGAGTGGCGCGATGGTTAAGAACTGGCTTGGGATGCCAGAGGGCCCCGGTTCGGATCCCACATATGAGGGCCAGTGACACTGCCCTCTACAGCTAAGATGCTGAACAACAGCTCAACCTGGAGCTGGCCTGCCATGAGTCGCTGGCGACGGCGTGGACTGCAGTCCCTGTGGGAGTGGATTGCCATGGGCTACCGTGTGTAGCCAGCAGCCAGCGTGAGCGGCCAGCAGCCAGCGTGAGCGGCCAGCAGCCGCAGTGAGCGGCCGTCCAGAAGCCGGCGACTGATCTGCCTCACCCGGGAAGAGCGCAATGATGGTTCCAACTTGGGCCAGTGAAGCAACATCCACCACAACTAGACTGAAGAACAAAACAACAGCAACTTGTCTGTTCCCCATCCCCCAATTCCCCAGCACTGTCCCATCCCCCCAATTCCCCAATAAAAAAATATTAAAAAAAAAAAAAAAAAAGAAACTGAGGTCAAGAAACCGTGCCCTGTAGGCATGTCCTGCTGGTGGCCCGGTTTTGTAAATTGACTTGTCCTGGAACACAGCCGTGCCCATGTATTCCCATCTCCTCTATGACTGCTTTTGTGCTCCAGTGGCAGAGTTCAGTAGTTGTGACAGAGACGTAGAGCCCTCAAAGCCTAAAATCTTTACTGGCCTTTCACAGAAAATGTTGGCTGATCCCTGCTGTATTTTATTTATTTTATTTTATTTATTTATTTGTTTATTTTAGCTGAGCCATCCTGCCACCTGTTGGCAGCTCAGCGGCTGCTCAGCTCGGGCGGGAATCGAACCGCTGTTGCTCAGAGCTCACACTCTTGAGCGAGCTCTTAAACAACTGAACCACTCGGCCGGCCCTTGTATTTTATTTTTATATCAAGCCTTTACTTCCTTGATCATGTTTTAACCATTTGTTTGTTGTTATCCTTGGTAGTGAATCATCTTACACTAAGTGAGATAAGCTCCTGGGTTAAGGGTGCTGTAATATTTGCATAGCGCTTGAATATGTGATGTGTTCTCGTTCACTCCCCCCATGTTCACCTCACCCTATGTTGCCCACCCTTAAAACATGGGGTGACTGGCGGTCAGGCAAGCAGCTGGGACCAGGACTGTTACCACCCTGGACAGCCTTCATCAAGCTGGGGGACTGTCACCCCAGTTCATCTATAGTTTCACACTAGTCAGGGGAAAGTTATTCATCCTCTAGCTCTTTAACATTTCACTCTCCCTTCAGTTTTTTTTTTATTTGTAAAAATAAGTTTATTGATGATAACGTTAGATAATTTACTCCCGATATTTAATGTTACAAACTTTAGGGTCTTTGAGATACACAGGATCCTTGTATGTTACTGGCATAAAACCCACTATTTGAGCTCTCTTCATCGCTTTTATGATTTCTTTTTGTTTCTTTCCACAAAGACCTGTTAGGCACCTTCCATAAATGCATCCAGTAAATGGAGAAATAAACTGGGACAAAAGCTGCACATTCTTGTAATCCACACGTTTTCCACATAAGATGCATTCCTTATGAGGATTTTCCATTGGAATGGGCAGGTCCTCATTGCTGGTTACCTGTTTATACTGTGAGCAACTTCTCCACAGCACGACGTGATTTCCAGGATTTGGGAGGCAGACAGTGGCCTTTATGAAGTGGGTCAACTTTTTCCTCCCTAGATGACTGCCAAAAGCAACCACAGTAGCCATGGCTCTTCGCTCCTCTTCCTTTCCTTTTCCTAAATCCCCTTCAGTTTTTTACATTCCATAACAGCTGTGTGAAATGATGGGTCCTAGTTTAGAAGCAATCTGCAAGTGATGGAAGACTCTTTTTCAAGGTTCGGAGCACGAGCTCCTTTTGGGATTGCAGGAGGAGCCATGGGAAGTTGTGGACCTTTCTCAGAAGCTGGGGGTGATGGAGGAGAGGGAGATAAGGGCATGGGCCAGTCTCTGGGCAATGGAAGAGGGCGTCCCAGAGAACTGATTTTCTTCTCCTATCACGCCAGTGGATGCAGTAGCTGAAAGCACCTTCAATGCACTCCTTTGTCAAGGTAAATGGAGACCAAGTTCCACATACACAAGGTTTGGCTTTGTAGCTGCTGTTTCCAATGCAGAAAAAACACTCATCCACAAGGCAAAATACTTAGAGGACATTTTTGCTCAAATGCATATGGGCAGAAGCATTAGGCTCCAGAGAGAAAAGCATGAACACAGATGTACTATTTTTAGTACCTTTTAAAAAGAAATTGACAGTGTTAACTTACTCTTGTAAAGTTATGACACATTTGAACCTAGGATACGTTGTGTAATTATATGAGGTTAATGTAAAACGGAACCCAGAAGTGCCACTGAATGGTTTTGCTCACAATCCAGTTTTCCTATGATGACAGATAAAAGTAATGGAATCTTTTCAGTGTGAAACAATTAAGGCTCAGGGAGAAAAGCTGCTCATAAGGGTCTGAATGGTGGCAGCAGGCTGGTAACCACACCTCCCAGGGTGGTTTGCATACAATTTTCTGTCTCCTGTCTTAACCCGTGAGTAATTGTGGTATTTATTCAGTGGCCATCAAAGTCCCAAAATAAAAAACAACTACCAATATCCCTGGGCCGAGTCTCTGTTGTCCAGGCTGTGAATGAGCAGGGCGCCCCATACGAGCCGCTGCCCATGAGCAGATGTTTTTACCTCCACTGGGGATTGAAACCTAGGGGAGGGAATTGGGGCAGATCGCAGGAAGGTTTTCCCCAATGTCACCTGGCCAAGAAAACCATCCCATTTATTTTAAAGATTGGCTAGAGCTCTTTGAAAGTGAAATAAAACTGTTTCTTTGTTCGTTGGCTACAGCCTGACCCAGAGGCCAAAGGCCTGATCTGATGGCATTGAGGGAGGATGTCTATGAGTCTCTGAGACTCGATAATTCCAGCACTGTGGTGGGAGGGCCCAAGTGACCTGCCTGCTTTAGCCTTTCTATGATATTTACGATTCCTCCATTTCAGAGCTTCAGGACATTTCTGGTCAGGTCAAAACTTGATTATCATTACTTTGCACATGAAGAAATAGAAGTACCAAGAGTTTTGAGATACTTATCAAGGGTGGTGCAGAAAATAAAGAGACCCCTACATGTAACTGCATTCCAACCGCTCATCAAGTGACTATTATTGTAAATAATAATACTAATAAATGACAAAGACTAAAATTCAACTTTTGACCATTCAGACAGTCTTCAAGTAACTGCTGTGTGCAAGCAGAGTGTGAGGTTTGAGAACAGAGACCAAGGAAGTGTGGTGAGTGACCTTGCTGATGCAGAGGGCAGAGCTGCATGTCACTGAGCACCAGGGAAGGGGTGGGGACTTAGAGGTGGGGACTTAGAGGCGGGGACAGTGCGCTGTGGCGTCTTGTGGAGAGAGCTGCTAGCTATGTGTGCAGGTTGGGGCAGGAGGCTCTGAAGAGGTGATGGTTGAGCGGGACTATAAAGAAAGAGAAGGAGTAGATTCTGAACTTTGGGGCCTGGTTGAGTCAGGGGGCACTTAACTCCTCTCTGAAAGAGAGAGGTCGTGTATCATACATGGTCCCTCTGGTGGACTATCTTTGCTGGCTTTTGTGCATGTGATGGGAAAAGTGGAAACAGCGATTCATCTTTTCTTTCCTTAGACAAATGCTAGCTTGATTCCTGACACAGAGAGTCACAGAATCACAGAGCATTAGAGCAAGAAGCCACCACACTGCAAGTCCAATGCCCTGATTTCATAGAAAATCTGAGGACTAAGAGGCAACTCTGAGTCACAGGGGGTCTGTGCCGACTGGAAACTGGGACCCAGCCCCTCTTTGTCTGCATTCACTTTGCCTCCACTTTAGGCAGCCACTGCTGGTGAGGTCCCTGCTGGGCTCACTGATGTTTGCTTGCAAAATGAGGCCAACTAGATCATGGTCACTTCACTGGTTTCCATATTTGAGCTACAAAGTACTTCTAATTCCTCTCATTCTCAGATCCTCAAAGGATTTCATGAGCTTTGGATCTTTTGCAACCTTTCTCTTGAATTTGGTGCCATCAGCCAGGCTCCTATCTCAAGCCTAGCACTTATTAGTTGTATAACCATGGACAAGTAATTTGTGTCTCAGATTCCTTATCTATAAAATGGGGGGATGATGATACTAGTATTAGGGACAAGTTGCTTATGCTGCAGTTTCCTTATCTGTAAAATAGGGATGATGATAATAATAATAGTGCCTACCATGGTAAAGTTGTGAGGATTAAATGGATTAATATATGCAAAGCACTTGTAACAGTACTGTACACATAGTAAGTATGAAAATTATTATTACTTTTTGCTTATTTAATATGTTAGGAAGCTTAGTGTAGATTAGTTATGACGAGTGATTTATCCAAATTAATTCTTGGAGTCAGAGCTGTGTTTAGAAGGACTGCCCATTCGCATGTTAGCTGATTCCCAAAGTAATGGATGGACTGCTGTATTCCATTCGCTTCTCAGGCAGTGTTGACTGTCTATACCAGGAGCTGTGAAGTCAAATGCTGTCAGGGGCAGAGGAGGAAATGTAAAAGACGCAAGAAAGCTGGATATGCGCTTGTTAAACAGTAAGGAATTGCTCTCAATTTCTCTTTTCCTCCAATTTTTCTTCAAACATGACGGTTTTTCCAGGCTTTCTTTTCTTTTTT